TCGTGCGGATGGGCGGGAATGGAGGGTAAAAACCGTTGGGATATTATAAAGCAATCGCATTTGTGGCTGGTATATTTAAGGCCGAATGGATAAGGTTGATCCAAGAGCTTGTGTGAGAAAATCCAATTTTTGGCGAAAAATGTCAATTTTCCTGAACGACGACACGCGGTTTTGTACTTTAAACGACGATATGTATGTCTACATATTATTCGGACGTCCCACTCGTGAGCATGCGGCATATAACTGACTGTGGGTAAACCAGGGGGTTTTCAGCTGAAAGCTAGCCATCTTTAACGTTTGACCTTGCGAAACTGAAGTCTACTAAATTCAAAGCGAAGATCTGTGGGAATCAATAGGACTTCGTCAGAAAAACATCGTCTGCCGCATCTAGTAATATTTGTAGTTTAAAATAATTTTTCTTGCTACCAGTCTTGTTGCACTACAAGTTTTAGGCAGATCAAGGTTATAAAAGAAGAACAAAAAGCGCTCCTATATTTAATTAAGATTTAAGAAGGAATTCCCTGAGGATTCAAGTGAGTTTAAAAACTCCACAAATTACGGCGTACTTTGCAATAAGCGCTTTCTTTAGATGTTTCTCTATACCAAATGCATCCCATGTCAGGTTTGGTTTCAAAGTTAAAACTGATAAAGCTAAGTCCATTGAACAGACTGATATAAGAATATACATATATATGGGGCACTTAGATTTTTTTCATAGTTTTACGTTGGTCGAAAATGGTGGCACACTTATGTTAGGAAATGCATTATCTTCAGTTTTATATAAAGAACAAAATTCCATCGCGAAATTGTATTTAAATGAAAACTTAAAAAAGATTTACTTAAAAAAGTAAAAATTACCACTCGTACTCGTACATATATCCGTAGTTGCATATGTAACTTATACGCCCCGCTGTACTGTACGCGGTCATCCAACACGTTTACTTGCACGCCATAATTTAGAAGTCATATTATTAAAAAGTATTTAAATATTGGCGCGGAAGGTTTTTACACAGTATTCCTTATGTACATATATATTAATTTCTTTATGTGAATAACACTTTTGGAATATATTTCGAGTGTGTCAAAACAAATTTAAAACTGAAATTTTAGTTTCTCAAATCACAGTCATCTTTTACTCAATGTAATTTTTTTTTTTCATTTGGTGGCACACTAGTTCTATTACACTAGATTCGTTCACCTTGGCAATAAGAACATGTTTACCATTTAATTTTAATATTTTGTGGTATATAAAATTATTAATTATTACTAGTTCGCCCAGCCGTTGAAATTCAAACACTAAAATTAAGGAGAGTTGAGGTGAGTTGAGTTGAGTTAAGATGAGGTAAATTGAAGTGAAGTGAGTTTAGATAAGTTGAGCTAGGTGAGTTGCGATGAGTTGAGAAGAAATATCATTAGTTGGGGTGAGTTGAGTGGAGGTGAGTTGAACTTAGCACTTAGGAAAACATAACATAGCATACTATAATACAACATACCATAACATGAAATAACATCAGATAACATTAAATAAAATAGCATATAACATAACATAGCATAACATAACATAACACAGCATAACACAACATAACATTAAATAAAATAAGACAACATAAAATAGCATAGCATAAAATGACATAGCATAGCATAACATGACGTGCCATAACGTAACATATCTCATTCTTCAGTTTTATTTTCTTCTTTATATTTATCTTTACCTTTATCTCTATCACTATCTTTCTCCATATCTATCGTTTTTTATCTTTATTTATATCGTTATAGTTATCTTTTCATTTTGATTTTTATCTTCGTCTTTTTCTCTTCCTTTCCCTTTATACTGATCTGTATCTTAATTTTTTTTTTTCTTCATCTATATACTCACGCTCACCATTGTCATTATATTAACTATTTAAATCTGCCTTCCTCTTTGTCTTTACCTTTAAGTTTCTCTACTTTTATTTTAATCTTTGCTTTTATCCCTTCCTCCTTCTACTAGAGATGGGCGCGTGAGTAATTTCGGTACACATTCACGCACGCTCACGTTGATGATTTTGTAAATCCCGCACACTCACGTCCAGCTATATTTTCACTGAAATTCGCTCACGCTGACACGTGAAAAAGCGTGACACGATGTGTCACGTAGAAATCACGTCTTTTGCCCATCTCTACCTTCTACACACTCAACTTTACCTTCTTCCTTGTATGAATCTTAATCTATTCATGTACATACATAAATTTTATTACTAAACTGCTGCTTAGCTCCTTAGGCATTTCCGCCCCAACAATGTACATTATCGTGGGCCAGAAATCCATTTTTTAAGAATTTTGATTGGTAATAGCAAAACACTATGGCTCATTATGCTCTAAAAACAGTCTGTGTAAAAGATGAAAATTGTTGGTCAATAATTTAGGCTCGCCCAAGTCCATCAAAGTTCAATGTGCTCAAAAATATAAAAATTTTATCAATATAGTAATTAAGAAATTTTTTAGCAAGTATCTTCGAACCTATTAGTCCTGCGAAATTGGTGTATTGACTTTTTTGTAGAGGATCGAAGTAAGCTAAGATATTTTTTTTTAGCCCTTGAACTTTGATGGACTTCGGCGAGCCTAACATATTGACCACAAATTGACATATTTCACACATATTATTTTAAAAGCATAATTAACCATATATTTGCTATTACCAATCAAAATTCTAAAAAAGTGAATTTTCGACCCACGCTAATGTAAATTGATTTTTGCGCTTTATTTTAAACTAATTTGAAGTATTTGTCAATGTTATTGTGGCTTATTAACATTTTACGTAATTAGTAATTTCGTTACTTTTTCGCTAAATAAACCTTTTAAGGCGAAATTTTTTTAAATACTTGATTTATTTTTTATTGTCTTGTTTCTCGAACTCCATTGGGCCGTATGAATAAAAACAAAGCAATTGCTTTTTCTTAAAATTTCATACCTTTTACTTCAATATTGTTTGAATAAATTGAGTAAAATATCTGGTATTTTAAGAAAAAGCAATTGCTTATTTTTGTTCATACGGCCCATTGATTTAAATAAATGCAAGTAGAATGGTTAAGCGTTTTTTTTTCTGCCAAGAGAAGGGAGTGACATTAAAAAAAAAACAACTCGTGAGATTTGCTCACTGATATAACGGAAACAAATTTTAACTTCGTATTTCTATAAAATTTCCCAATTTGTTATATAAAATGTTGATTTCCAAAAAACTCGTACTGATCGATAATGTTTTATTAAAAAAACGGTCACCCATTCCGCAACGTTTAGTCCCGATAATGGGATAAAAATGGGATCTATTTTTTCGAACTATTTTCTTTTTGGTTGAAAATATGAGCAAGAAATAATATTACTCATACGCCATGTACGAGTAATCAAGCGTTTGATCACACTTTAACCCTGGAAGTAGGTACATGCTTTGTCGGATCGACGACGCAATTTTTATTTTTCGAAACTAACCGAAAGCTTATACAATGATAATTCATTTTTTAAATATATACCGTCGTCGAAGTATTTATTTTACGTACAAAAAATAAGCACGTACTTCCAGGGTTAAAGAAAACGATAACAATTTATTATACGAAACTGAATAATCGTATTTCTTGCTAATTTCTTTCTCTACATCAAAGTATTTTTATATTTTTTATTAATGCAGGTGAGTCCTTGGCGTTGGTATGGACAAAATTTGTCAGTTTTTCGTTTCCATGGTTATCCCATAATCAGACTAGGACTAGAAGTTGCGAAATGAGTTACAGTTTATATCAGAAAAATTTTAAGAAAATCGATCAGTACGTGTTTTTTAATCAGAATTTTATATTAGAAATTTTAAAATTTCATGAAAATTTTATAGAAATGCGGTTTTACAATTTTTTTAATTTAATTTTCAAAACTTTTCAGGAAATTTAAAAATTTCAAACAAAAAAATGGTCGCGATAGGCCCAATTTCGCAAAGTTATGGGCATATAAAAAAAAAGTTTTTTGACAAATCGATATTTCGAAAACGGCTGAACAAAAATATTTAAGAGGCCGCTCACAATTTGCACAATAAAAAAAATACGAAAAAATTTAAACTGTCGAAAACTAAATCAATAAAATTCAAAGGCCATATCAACCAATAGGATACGTACATACATATCGTCACATTAGTTCAAAAAGGCCCTAACCAACAAATTTTTTATTTTATAGGAGAAGCAAAAAAACATTATAAAATGAGTATCTATTAAAAACAGGTAGGGCTTTAAAATGGCATGCAACTCTGTTGTTTCGGTACTAACACTTCAAAATTATTTATTGAAGGTGTATTTTAATACATCCTACTAAAATCTGTGAAAAACGCAGCTTTGAAGAAAGTGTTGGTTAGGGCCTTTGTGAATTAAGATAACAATAAGAATTTATTTATTTGATTTTCTGAAATATTTTTATATTTCAATGTTTACCTTATACACAATGTCCTCACTGACGTTTCTTTTTTCAGGACCGTTACCAGCTATTTGTGAATTCACTACTCTCCAGCGAAGGCAATGAACGACTCACAAAAGCACTCACTCTTCTCAACTGGTCTTGGCCAGGCTTCAAAGTGAGCTCTTTTCTGGAACGTCATCGCTCCTCGGTGTTGAGTGCAGTGCGCACAAATAATTTAAAATTCGACTACGATAATCTCACTGTTATGTACTACAAGCCCAGAATGGAAGTGCTGCAGTTGCCACTAAAGTACGTACATATCTGCATAACTGAACTGGTATAGGTTAACTGTGTGCACTTGGATTGGCGAACAGTTTTGAAAAAAAAAAATAAGCTTCGATTATTCGTACTCACAAACTTAAGTATTTAAGTATAAACGAATTTGAGCTTAATTTCAGCCGTCCCAGCGGTTATGTGCTACGTCCTTTAAATGCCACAACCGATGCTGAGATAATCGACACACTATGGCCAAATCATCATCAGGGTTCACGTTTTCTGATTAAACGTCTCATAGAGTGGAATGCGAATATGGGCGTTTATACAGCGGACACTGGCGAGCTAGTAGCGTGGTGCTTGCGGTAAATATGAAAACTTGAGACACGTTTTTTAACGCATTCCTTTATTTTTGTTCTATTCTCAACGTCAGTTTGCAAGGCGGTTTTCTCGGCGCTCTGCAAGTGAGGGTGGAGCACAAGCAACGCGGTTTGGGTAGCCTGATTGCCACGGCTACAGCGCAACGCATTGCGGAGCTGGGTGATGATGTAATGACGCTGGTAAACAAGGATAATCGCGTCGCACGTGGCATGTTCGAGAAGCTAGGCTTTAAGCTATTTGATAACGCTTATTGGTTACGTACATTTCCCACTGAAGACGTAGAGAGCACATGGCCTGATGGCGAGTAGAGAATTTCGCGTTTGCATATGTACATTAGGGTGGTCCTTAAATGTAGGAAGCACATTTTTACATCAAGTTTCCCAAGCCTCAACCCCTACGTCGATGCTACTATAGTCAAAGATATCACATATAAATTTTGGTCCCGATTTGAGGCGGTTAAGGCGTGTCGCACAGGGGGTAAAGTTCAAATTCCTCTATGGAGACTAAAAAAATTAAAATTAATTTTTTTCACCTAATACCAATAGTCGATACTACTTTAGTCGGCGTTATCACATATAAATTTTGGCCCTGATTGGAGTCGGTTAAGACGTGTCACACAGGGGTCAAACTTCAGATTACCCTATGAAAACGTTTTAACCGACTGAAATCGGGACCACAATTTATATGTGATATCTGTGATCATGGTATTACCGATGGAGGGGGTTAGACGGAAAAAATCGGTTCATTTGATTTCTAAGGACCACCCCAATGTTTATACATTCATAAACATTTTCAAAAAATCTTGTAGAAATCTTTAAAGAAATAAAAATTAGTCTTTGGAATTTTGAATTATTAATAAAAAAATATTATAAAGTATCCTGAAAGTTAACGATTGCATTGGTGATGGAAAAACAGGAAAAACCTGACGGTGGAGAATCCCAGTGCATATGGTTATCCTTCTCTGGGCGCAGTTACATTTTATACAATGCCTAACGCTTTTGTAAAAAAAATTATAAACATTAAATAAAGAAAACAAGTAAGAAAGTCTAAGTTCGGGCGGAGCCGAACATTAAATACCCAGCGCAAGTATTAAATATATGTTTTCCACCTTTCCGAAAGCTACCACTACATGATAAGCCGGGGTGCATAAATTTTAAGTAAATTAGCGTCCTTAAATTTCGAAGTATTGAAATTTCAAGCATTTCTGAAATTTACCGTTATATGAAAAGCGGCCGTAATTTTAGTCCGATTTCAATAATTTGCAACGTTTTGCTTTTAAGTGGAAAGCACAATAAAAATACCGAGTTTGGTATAAATTGGTAGAACGGTTACCGATAAACATATATGTGATCATAAGTGGGCGGTGCCACGCCCATTTTCCAAAATTTTACCATAAACATATTTCTTGGTAAAGGATTGTTGCAAGCGTCAATTTTGAATAAATTAGCTTTAATATTTATTGATTTATCGAAGATTGCGTATTTCTCTAAACTACCCTTATATGGACTGTGGTCGTGGTTATTGTCCGATTTTAAAAATTTTCGGCCATTAGGTACGCCAAGCCAACCAAGCCCAACAACTGTGCTAAGTTCGGAAGAAATTGGTGCAGCGGTTGCCAAGATATACACATGTAACCATAAGTGGGCGTGGCTACGCCCATTTTCCAAAAATTTATAATATTCTTATTTTTCGTCTAAAACTTATTGTAAATATCAATTTTGAGTGAATAATCTCCAGTAGTTACTAAAATATCGCAGTTTTCGTATTTCTGGAAATTACCGTTATATGGGAAGTGGGCGTGGTTAAAGTCCGATTTCGCCCATTTTCAATACCAACCTACCTTGGATTAACAGAAACCTACATACCAAATTTCGTTGAGATATCTCAATTTTTGCTCGAGTTATCGTGTACACGGACGGACGGACAGACAGACATGGCTTTGTCACATCCATAAATAAGAACAAGTAAGAAAGTCTAAGTTCGGGCGGAGCCGAACATTAAATACCCGGCGCAAGTATTAAATATATGTTTTTTCACCCTTCCGAAA